TGATTATTGTGAAATTCAGTACGCCAAGAAAACTCCATATTTTATTATTCATAAATTGTTTATGCCTTACCCAACTCCAGCCCAGTTTGAGAATAAGTAGACAAAAAGTATAATCTTAAACTTGGATTTACTTATGTCTGCTTAGCTGTTGGCAGATGGCCTCTTGGCATTGATGAATGAAATGCCACCATAAATTGCAGTAATAGTAGTAGTAGTTTTCTCAATGAACTCCTCCCGTAGGCGGAATGATTGTCCGGATGTCAGAGACCTGATACAAAGCGGACAAGATGTATAGTGATATCTTATACTTCCTATATCAACCTCCCCTAAAACCAAGGCTCACACATTCACAATATTCTATATCCTGTGCATCAGCCTTGTTGAGATAGGTAAAGGTTAAATCTCTCATCCATCCAATATATTTCTCATACATATTATCTACTGGCAGTCTCGAAAACCTGCTTGTAGACGAAAAATAAGTAATGTAGTCGATTGCTATGGCAAATAACACTTTACTTCATCATCAATCCCACCACAGAATGTGATGTGGGATAATGCCTGGCCATCTCTAAAATTCACACTTGCCCTGTCGAGATGTCATGATTCGAGTCCCGTTAGGGGGGATCGTTGTCGAAACTGTAATATATTTCAGCCTGGATGAGAATACCTTTTGGGAAAGCAAGGCTATGTGAAGTTGAATGGGAATGTAATGTATACTCACATCATTGTGTATAAATTCAACTATCATACACCTTATTACATTAAACGAAGTTGGGTAAATACATCTCATATAAAAGCTAAACAAATCATCTCCAATTTCCAAGACACCTTTTGAATTCCAATCTGCAAATTCTTGTTGCCTTGCTTGCTCTATACAAACACAGCCAATTACAGTTTACATCTAAAACTGTGACAAAGCCTGGACAACTCTTTGTGTAGGTGATGCAAGAGAAGCAATCAAATCATCGAACTATCAAGATTCCCGTTCTTCTATTTTAATTAGTTGCAGCTCAAACTTAAATGAAACTAGGAGGAATTTGATTTGATTTTCAGCATTCATGAAGTCCTTATGAGTAAATAATATATTAATTCGAATCATCTAAATATTGGCGAAATACGTGACGATGCATACCCATGACAGCTTTGGTAAGGGGAGTGGAATGAAGTAAGCGGTCATGGTCAAGTTAGAGGTTCATTGTTTTCAGATGACATTTTTATTGATAGAAGTATGCAACAGGTGAAGTTTTATTCTTAGTTGTGGGTGGCCTAATTAAAATTACACATTTAATTTTGATTAAGAGTCGAATACTTTACTAGCTTTATTTGCCCAGTCTCTAATTCTTGAAAAAACTTTTTGGAGCTTGTCACTTGAAAATTTTCGGATGTATATAAAACAAATTGTTCTGGTAATTTTCATGTACTCTCTCGTTTGCATGTGCGCATGTCTTAATTTGTGCTTTTATTTGTATGTCTGTCATATGAGGGAGGAAAGCTGAACCTATTTTCCTGAAAGCCTAAAGAGGAGGTCTCGTGTACTGAGTCAACCCGAACGTTGCAATAACATCAAACGGCAATAGAAAAACACGAGTTGGCCGTCTTTTTCTGGTGAGATCTGTTCACAAATCTATTTGTCAGAGCTTTCACACAAAGTGAATGTCAACATAACAAAGTGCTGTTAGCCCCAAAATAAAACAGTTTTCTGTTCCCTTGTACTGCACTCTTTGACTAGAATATGCAAATTTATCAGAAGATACATCTTCAGAATACAGCAGGGAAGAGGAATGAGGAACTAAAGAAGACGCAGTTTACTGCATCTGACAGGGTGGTGCTGTGATTGTGCAACCTCTTGTGTCATTTCCTACATGATGGACATGCCCAGCGGGCAAAAGAGCCCCGGTTTGCCTCCATTTGCTCGTTCATTCAGACTGCTTTCCTTGTCCATTAAAAGGAGACAGAATCCTCCCACAGGTCCATGGTCAACTGTTAGCAGCTGCTAAAAGCATCGAATTCTTGAAACATTTTATCCCCTTTCTTGGAGCCGAATAAGTGCATTCCATCAGTCTGTTGGAGATGACATTATGCATGCATAAGACTCTACACAACAGGTCTAGTCGCTAAGTTTTCACCAAATAAGATGATTAGCTCTTAAGTTTAATTGCATGTAAGCATGTCTTGGCAATAGAAATTGTTTTCAAACGCATCTCCTAAAGTCGGGATGATATGTTTAAAGGATAGAAAAATTGAGTGATAGAGCAGTGCTTAATTATGTACGAATTTTTGAACTTTTAAATCTTCCGCCGTCGATATGAAGAGTAGCTAGTTTTCAGTGAATCCCTTAAAATAACATTGTTGGGAAGACTTTCATTTCTATGAAAATGTATGCAGAAGATATTCGTTGATGGATGTTGCCAAAAGTCAACAGCCAATTCCCGTTGTTCTGCAGCAGTTTGGCTACAATACCACGTTCTGGTTGAGGCAGCGCACACGACATCTTGGCCTAATATTAACATGAGACTTCAACAAGAACGGATTCTGGTCCTGAGGATTTCCATCATGTGATGGACGAAGGCTCAGTCCAGTTTCATCCTAAATGAGGAAGGATTTCTCGTGGACCTAGTCAACATGAACGTTGCAGAATAATGGAAATCAGCCATCTTCTTTCGATGAGGTCAATAAACACATATCCTCATCATGCAATTTCACATAAGATGAAAGTCTCTTTAACACTTCTTTATCTCCCGTATAAAGTAATGGGGAATAAGACTTATTCAGGTAATATTTTGGCCAGTAGGCGGCCCTCACTTAAGCACTGACCGAGACCCCGAAGAATACTTTAATAGATCTTCCTTCGGAGTCTAGCCATCTTTGGGGCTTTTTAAGCATCGTCAATCCCATCTCACTGTACTCAAGATCTCAAATGGTGTGAGTGAACAAGGAGCCTAATGAGCATCCGTCTCCAAGGAAGCCCAAAGAGGAAAAGTTCTGCGTTTTTACTCATCACACTTGCACGAACGAAACTGGTTAAAATGGACTTCCGAAATCTTTGAACAATTTAAATGCAACTATTTGTAAGCTTCCTCAAAATTTCAGAAACAATAGAAGTAATACTGTTGAATTAGAAAAACTCTTTATCCACGTTCATAATCCCTATCCATCTTTTTGATCGTGTCAAGCAAACTCTAAATCTCAAATCTGAAGAAAAGTTGGGTTTCTACGACTCATTTTGATGAGTTAGTAAGAATCGGCCGTAAGAACTTTGTGGATTGACCTCATCGCAAAAGCCATATCAAGAGAGGCCTCGTCAAAGTCGCAGATTTTGGCTAAATGATGTGAATAGGTTTGCAGCCGATCACCCCCATTCCTGTTTGCTTAGGAGATTTGTGTGTTTTTTTGTGAGTACTACTATCTCGCTTTTACGCTGTCAGTTCATATGAGAAAACTGAGAAGGCTCCGCATGGCTTCATCTAGTTCATGGGACAGTGAACCGACAGTCTCCATCCCAAGGCCGCTCTCTTTTCGTCTTCTGCGAGACAAATAAACGAAATCCTTTGGGCCGAATTTCCCTATCAAATGAAAATGGACGCTTAGATTTCATGTCCCAAAAGCGTAAACTTCTCTCCTGGCAATCCTTTCCTCAGTTGAAAGGCGAAATTCGTGAGTCTGAATGCACTGCCGCTGCTTTAAGGGAATCTTCTCTTTCCGACCGTAAAATCATCTTGCAGCTTTGAATAAAGCGCCCAAACAAGTGCATCTAAGCCCTGCATATACTCAATAAATGGGGACGGACAGATGACATTTGTCGAAAAAAGATATGCAGAACTCCTTCCCAAATCAAACAGTCCAGTTACACATGATGAGTATCCCTTGACAACTCGCACCAACGGTCAGTCTGTATGGGATAAAAACCTCATTTATGAGAAGTATTCACTTCATGTTGTTAAGGTGATGAAGGAAAAGCAGTTGAATTGTCACACAATTCAGGGTGGAATGCAGCTTCAACCTCGCTATGTGAAGGCCATCAGAGACGTAATGTCAGCATATATCATTGTGTAAATTCAGGTTCCAGTCCTTAATCACCTTAACCAATTAGCATGAATTCATCTCATATATATAATCTACCGGTAGTCTCGAAAACCTAATTATATGCGAAAAATAATATCCGGTCTTTCACATGCATGCATGACACGACCCCAGCAAAATGGGGCTAAATTGTGGTCAGACCAGGTCTGTGCCGTTGTTCTTGATTTTTGGTGGAATGGGAAATAATGACTTGGAGCATGTGACTATGGTCTTAAGTAATTCTTTTTGCCTATTATTTAGCTCACCTACCTTCCTTTCCCATCAGCCTTGTTCTCCTTCCTGCATATTTACAACAGTTCTTTTGGCCTTATTAAAAACATGGTTTTTGAGCGTCACGCTTGATCGACTACTCATTAGTAGTGTATCACTGAAATTCCCGATTTATAAATGAATACGGGTACTTACACATTCTGGTGCATAAGAAAGCTAGTTTCAGTATCTCAAGCACTACTCAAAATGTGTAAAGTAGTATCATCGAGTAGAACTGGCAAATGCGAGACAGGCTTAACATGGCCTACCTGCACCCTTCCTCTTACAATAGCACTTCAATGGAGCATCATTCGTATAATCGTTGGGCTGGTCGTCTCGTGATCCATTTAGTTTTATAACTATAGCGTAATATTCTGACTTTATTTGTCAACTAACCAACCCACGGCCAAAAGCGTGGTGAAGTTGGCCGAGCTTTTTTGTATTCCGTGAACCTCTCCGAACCCGAGCGCCCCAACCGTGGCGAAAGGACACTTGCCCTCCTCTTCCGATCTCCCGCCACAGGGAAATGCCATAAAACGGAAGTCACAACAATATGCTATCTAAAGAAATGGGCTACTTGAATAAAGGTCACCTTGGTTGCTAGGCCGGAGGGTTTAAATCGAGTATAGGCATTTAATGAGCTTTTAACTGAACAGCTCACGAAATGATCGGACAGGAGGCAAGCCTTCATCCTTCAAGATCCGGAACAGGCGAGCAGGCTTTATGGCTGTTGGATCGCTTGCCTGCGCCATATACTTGATTTATTTTGTAGTCAGGCGAACTGGGATGGAGGTGGAATCTCAGACACGCAAGCAAACGGACGACAGCCGAGGTATAGTGAATTGTCGGCTGCCCACGAAACGGGGCTCGAGCTTGTTTGCGTTTAATGCTGATCCAGGCCAATGAACCAACTTCCGAACGAAAGCTTTCGAAAAAAGTGGCTCTTGACAGTCCGAGAAAAATAGTCCTTTCGAGCTCAAAGCCAGAAACGAGCGCAAAAGGGCACATCCCATCGACTGACTCTGACGTCCCGACCGGCTTCCTCAACCGCTGACCACCGCCTGTACCTTCCTCTTCCAGACGGAGGGGAATTCAGTCTCCCGTCTTGGCCACATGCAGCAGTTCAAGCCTGGCCAATATCGGACCATTTCTTTTCAGTTTATGGGTAGGTTGTCGTGGATACCAATCCAGACCGCCAGAGATGCATTCACCCTATATCGTTTAAGGTGAGGAAGGACTGGAAGTTGAATTTTTCAACAATCTGATGAGTAGGCCTCAGGTTGTGCATTGAAGTTCCCTGCAGTCCGCCCTGGCTGAGAATACCTTTTGTGAAACAATGAGACTTTCGATTCAATGAGACCGTAAGGTCTACTCATCAGATTGCGTGAAAATGCAACTACCTTAAACGAAATAGGGTTAATGCAGCTCTTATATCAGCACATTAAGTCTACGTAAAAAATGGAATTGCCGAACAGACATCCTCTAAACAAGGTAAATTTGTGAAAAAGCCACATTGCTTTATTAGCTGCCGAATGGACTTTCCCAAATTTTGACTATTAAAGCAAAAGAAAAGATCAGATGAGCCAAGGGAATGACATGAAAATAAACCAAACTGTTGCCCTACCACTGTCACGACCCTGTGTCTTGCAGTGGTTCTGCAAAACCCCTTTTTTTAGCTGAATCAACGCGATAAAATATATTTAGAAATTGCTCTGACAGGGCTCTGAAAGTGGCTAGAAGAGGGTTTTAAATGAATTTCCCCGAGGATGAGAAATTCAGAACATTTTGCAAGTTCTATTTTCAAGCCCACTGAAGCCAAACGGTTTCAAAGTTATGTGTGCT